ACTTCTATCACCCTCATAGTGAGCCATCTAAACTATGGGTAGCTGTGGCACCCAACAAAGAACGAAAAAGGAGAATAAAAGTGAATATAACAGAGAAAACAAATTGAAAGATGTTAAGGTTGTATATTTACACAGAGAGCAAATTGGTCAAGCATTGGCCGTGACTCATCCACATGGCTGACACTGACAAAGGATCTACAAACTGCAGTACAGGGTTTCAGGATAAATCCTGAGGGAACTTGACTGACCTTGTCAGATACAAAAGTTACATTTTTTGTTATATAAGTCTTGCTTTATCTTGGCCTTAACCATGCAGCAGAAAAGAATAAAAACAAAGTATAAAAAGTAAAGCCATAGTAATATGCTGAGCTATAAAAGGCTCAAGTCAACAGCTTCTGACATTGCCAGTCTTACAGAAAACCCACTACTATTATGGGCTACTGGACTACATTGGAGTGTTTTGCTGAGTTCACGCACCTACAATATTTAAATGACAATGGAATGCCATTCTCTGACAAAACTAACCAGAAAAGCCGGTACAAATGACCATTTTGTATCTGTATGTTCAGAATAGTTAGGATAGATATACAGCTGCATTCTCTTAATACAATGAATAGAGATATTTGTTCTAATAGTGTTTGTGGACAGGATATCATGTCTGTATCTTATACAATGAATAACCAGTAAGACAACAATATGCAGTGTATTAATTGTTTTGTTTTTGTTTTTGTTTTTGTTTTTTGTTTTGTTTTTTGTGGAACTGGGGATTGAACTCAGTCTCTTGAGCTTGCCAGGCAAGCGCTTATTCTACTGAGCCATCTCCCCGGTCCCCTGTATTAATTGTTATCCTTTTTTTTTTTTTTTTTTTTTCCGGGACTGGGGATTGAACTCAGGCCCTTGCGCTTGCCAGGGAAGCACTTATTCCACTGAGCCATCTCCCCGACCCCCTGTATTAATTGTTGAAACTGTGCTGGTAATCAGCTTTCAAACTGTTTCATTGCTATTTGTTTCTCAATAAAATTACTTTAAAAAAGATTGTATATTTAAACTTAATTGTATTAAATAAAATAAACTATATTAGTTGTTATAGTAAATATATTTGAACCATTTACCAAAATAAATTATATGCTGTTCAGAATAAAATTATCAAAATATTATCAAAGGATTTATTTATTTTTTGCGGTACCAGGGAGTGAACTTAGGACCCTGCACTTGCCAGGCAAGCACTTATTCTAATGAGCTATCTCCCCGGCCCCCAAAGGATTTAATTTATGCATACTGTGTTCTCTGTCTATAGTGGAATTAAACTAAATACCAGAAACCAAAAACAAACTGATAATCTTTATGTGTTTAAATAGTGCAAAAATATATTTATAGTCAGGGAGATAGTTTAGCAGCATAAGTGTCTGTCTGGCAAGCACAAGGTCCTGTGTTTGATCCCTGGTATTCATATAACTCCTGGGCCAAAATATTAATTGAATTCAATTAAAAGTAATTGAAATTTAAGTTAGAAAACACTTTCAAGTGAATAGTAGTGAGAATACCTCATGATAAGAGTTGTAAGGTTAATGATGGCAAAATAGCAATATAGGCAGCTCAAGGACCCTGTTCTTCCCCACCTCTGTCTCCTGTGAGAAACCTAAAACAAACAAGAACAAAATAGCAAGGACAAAAATAAAACAAGAACAACAAAGAAGAATCTGTAAGAACCCTGGATAAAGCCCAAAGGTGAAGGAACCAACCAAATACTGAGTTAAGGAAAGGGCAACTTAGACTTGTGGAAATTTTATTGTCTCTTATGGGCCTGTGGCAGCTCAGAAGCAGTCTCGCAGAGCAGCCCATGTTCTGAGTTTAAGACTCTGGTCCCTGACTCAGAAGAAAGCAAAGCACACCTTATGTGTGTGTCTGTTCTAAGACACTGACAGGTTGTGTTCAACTGTTTTTCACCTATCAAGAGCTCACATAGGCAAGAAGAACAAGTTGTATCTTTGATAAGGATTTAGTATCCAGAGTATATAAGGAATGACTGCAATGAAATAAACCAATAAAAAATGAGTGTAGCATTTAAATAGACATTTTCTCGAAGATACACAGTGAGTAATAAGTACATCAAAAAATATTCATTATCATTAGACATCAGAGAAATACAAATCAGAGCCTCACAAGAAACTGCTGCATACCTGTTGATGCAAGGGGAAATAACAAATGTGGCCAAGAAAGTGGAGAATTGAAATCTGCAAATGTTGCTAGTATAAATGTAAAGTGTGGAAAACACTAAACAGTTACATTACCCCAGGTATATATTTATACAAATGGATTGAGTACTAGACTGAAATGAACACTTGTTGTCTAGTGTTGCGAGCAGCATGTTTACAACAGTCAAAAGGTAGAAACAAGCTGAGTAGCCCCCAGTGGACAAGTAAGTAAACAGGTGTGGCAGGCATACACAATGGGATGTTATCCAGTATGAAGAGAAATTAAATTCTGGTACATGGCCACAGCGTGAATGAATATATAAAACATATTACAAAAAATAAACAAGACATAGGAAAAATATTGTGTTATTTCACTTATAAACTTTACAAACAGATATGTAACCCGAGGCGCACCATGTCAGCCCCTGAACTGGGAGCAGTGGTGCACGCCTGTAATCCCAGAACTCGGGAGGTTGAAACAGGAGGATTGATTGCTTCAAGTTCAAGACCAGCCTGGGGGCTACAAATGGGAGCACAAGGCCAGTCCAAAGCATAGGTGGTCCTTTTCTCAAAAAAAAAAAAAAAAGATTAGAAATTACCAAGGGCCACTGGAAGGGTGGCATAGGGAGTAGTTGTTTAATGGATATGGCCTTTCTGCTAGGGATGATGAAAAAATATTGAAAATATTGCTGATGGTTATATAAAACTGGATGTCATTAACATGAGTGAATTACACGTGAAATAGTTAAAATGAGAGTTTTGTCATTTTCTAGATGCTGGGTAACTGAGTTTGTGTAGGGGAGCTGAGTTGGAGGGTAGCGAGAAGATCCACTGGTCACGTGTGGTTTTGAACCTCCACATTTCTAACTCCAGATCTCGAGATGCATCATGATTCCTGCCTATTGGACTGTAAGGTTTATGTAGGAATGCTTGCCAACAATGGCAACAAGACTGAGCTGGAATGAGCTTTCGGCCATTATGGACCACTGCAGAGTATGTGGGTTGCTAGAAACCCTCCTGGCTTTGCTTTCGTTGAATTTGAAGATCCCCAAGACGCACCAGATGCTATCTGAGAGCTAGATGGAGGAACATTATGTGGCTGCTGTGTCAGAGTAGAACTATTCAATGGTGAAAAGAGAAGTCAAAATCGTGGCCCTCCTCCTTCTTGGGATCGTCACCCTCGAGAAGATTATTGTAGGAGTCCTCCACCTCACCACAGATCTCCACGAAGGAGAAATTTCTCTCACAGCCAGAGCATGTCTCTTTCTAGAGATAGGAGAAGAGAAAGATCACTGTCTAGGGAGAGGAGAGAAATCACAAGCCGTCCCAATCCTTCTCTAGGTCTCACGGCCAATCTAGGTCAAATGAAAGGAAATAGAAGATCAGTTTGCAGGAGAAGTGGTGTACAGGAATTAACTTCATTGATGGGAGTATGTACAGAAAATCCAAGTATTGTTTGAGACTTCATAAGCTTGATGCGTTTTTAAGATGTTTTAGCTGTTCACCTTTGTGTCTTGGAACAGTGACCCAACAATATAATTCTCTCTGGTTTGAGATGAATCAGAAGAAGCACGTAATGCCAAGAATTGTTACTGTCCAATGTTCCCTTAAGCAAAATTAAATTTGCTTTGATCTTCAGCCTGGTACAGACTGAAAATAAACCTCAAAACTCTGCTTAAAGTATGGTGTCCTAATGTTACAGAAAAGAAAGTGGTAAAAATTGAACAAGACCTTTTTCATAGCTGAGATAATAGTGTACAGACGTGCCACAAGGTACAAGTAAAGGCCACACACAAAACTAGGTCAGTGTGATTTTAAAAATGGAACTGGTCTTTATACCGAGCAGAGGTTTCCTGGTTGATATACAGTCAGGTAAATTTCAAGAGAGTTTACCTTTGCTAGGCCACAAATGTTCCTTCCATAATGTTGCATATGAGTACATAGCTATTTTTATTTAGAAACCTGAGATTTCAAAGAACCAATGTCCTGCTGGTTTAAGGGTACTTCGTAGAGCTGAACTTTTGCATTACTGTGCAAGATTTTTTTTTTCATGCTGTCATTTGTAATATGTTTTGTGAGACTCTTTGGAATTAAAGTTTTGGTTACAAAAAAAATGGGAATTTCTCCATTATATGTGTTTTTGCACAATAAAAAGTTATAGGATTAAAAAAGAATACCCTAAATCTTTCAGGATGTAGCTGAAGTTGTTTTTCCTGTAAGGATAATTTTTAGTCTGAAATGACTACATTAGAAAATGTGCTCGTTGGAATTATTAGAAAACAATCAGCAAATTCCTTTCTGAAATGATTACAGAATGTAGGAGGAGAGCAAAGATAAAGATGAAAGCTTATATACTCTGAATAGATGTATGAATTCAGTGCAGTCTCAATCAGAATCCCTGCCAGCTTTGTTTATGGTGAAGTTTAACAAGCCAAGTCTAAAGTGGAAATGGAAATAAGTACTGAGAATTGCTATTTTTTTTTAAGAAGACAAAAATTGGAGATGATTTCTCCACATTCTGAAGACTTGTTATAATCTATAGGAGTTAAGATAGTGTAGCCTTGTTATAAACAAATATATGAATGTGATCGATATAATAGAATACTACACTCCCTCTCAACCAGAAGATTTAAGCCCCTAATGTCCGATGGAATCCATTAAATGTAATGAATTAAGTTATTTCTTCTGTGGCTCTGAAGTGATACCAGTTGTATACTGCCTGAAAAAATTTAAAGATTTTAATTTTCACAGAAGAAACTCAGTTTTCTGTGAAGTTTACTTTTCTTATGAACTTTAAATTGTGTCTTTTCCCTCCACAGTATTGAACTCAGAGAATTGGAGAAGAAATTAAGAGCAGCTTACATGAATAAGGAGAGGGCAGCCCAGATTGCTGAGAAGGATGCCATTAAATACGAGCAAATGGTAATTCTTTTCTGGTCATTAGGGTTTTTTTTTTTGTTTGTTTGTTTGTTTTTGTTTTTGTTTTGAGGTTCATTTAGAAAAATCTTAAAAACTCATTTTTAAAAATATTGTTACATTCTATAAAGAATATTCATTGCTGGATTTCCTAAATGCTTGTATACTTTTTAGATCCTGAGGATATGGAAAATCTTTGGTGGATTCTTATGAAACCTTGCTCAATTTAATATTAGAGCCTTTCAGAGGCCTGCATAACACAACATTCTTTATAGCTTCTACCTGGTTATTCTTTGATAAAGCAGAATAGTGTAAGTTGTTAGCAGTACTATATTTTAGAAGATTATTAAATTCCTTTATTTTTAAAGTGTTTTATAATTTGATAATTTTGAGGTACACTTGAAAATATGGCTATTTAAAAAGTTGTAGTTCTCTTGCATGACTGTCTTTAATTGAAGTCTTGTGGCTGCCTTAGTTTCTTCAACTGACTAAAAGTATTTACCTTTCATGGTTATTTTGATTTGGGGGAAGATCGAGAAGTTTAATGATGCCAGATCCGGTGAATAAAGTGGATGAAAACATATGGTAATGTTTTTACAAGCCTGCCTTTCTGTGAAATGATAGTGACAGCTACATTCACTATATTCTTTATCAAACATTGTAAAAACACAAAAGAGGACTTCCAGAATCACTTCAGAGAGTGGCAAGAGCAATGGGATAAGCAAATTAGAAGTGAGAGGAAAATTAATGGCACTGTGTTTTTTATTGTAATACATTTTAAAAAATGTAAACATTCACCATATATATTTCAGTTGTACTTCATATGTAGGAAGTACAACTGTTTTGAAAAGGAACTCAGGTTTTTTGGTGTTTTTATCGCCTTTTCTAACCCCTGATATGCTGCCACTTTGAGGGATTGCTCTTAGGCAAAGAATCTCAGATGTACTCACTAGTAGTGTTACACACTGTGAATAACATCATCTTTTTTTTTTTTTTCCTCTGAATGCCTTGGCTGGCTTGAGTTCTGGGGATCGAACCACAGCAACCTGAGCCTGACTGCTTTGTTGAAGCAGCCACTTAAAGAGCTGAACTAGGGCCGGGGAGATGGCTCAGTGGAATAAGCACTTCTCTGGCAAGTGCAAGGGCCTGAGCTCAATCCCCAGTGCAAAAAAAAAAAAAAAATTTCAAAAAAGAGCTGAGCTAAGGGGCAGGCCCCCCAATAACGTCATCTCTTGAGCCTCATTATCACACACAAAGACCAAACAACTGTATGTTTACCTGTGTGTATTTTTTGTGTATCAACATAAACATTCGTTCACACACATGTGCAAGTCAGAGATGATACCATAATAGTTAACCAGTGCAGTGCAATATGAGCATTTTTAAGAATAAGTCCAAGATGTAAGAAGCACATACATGTTGTGTGTATGTGCCTTTATGTTACTATAGAAAATGTGTGGAGGGTCCATAGCATGTTAATGATAACCTTAGGTGTGGCTAGTGGTGGAAAAAGTTGAAAGGCTTTATTTCCTAATCCATCTAAACTCTGTTTTTTTCATTAAATAAAACACAACACAATTTGCTATTTGACCAGCTGTTTTTAGTTTTAATATTTCTGATAATTAAACTTATTCAGGATCTATCTATCTACATACATACACACACACACACACACACACACACACACACACACACACACAGATGTCTTTAGTACAGGGTCTACAGGCTCTCACTACACAGATCAGATTTGTAATGATCCACCTGTTTTCAGCCTCCCAAGTGTTGGGATTACAGGCTTGTGCCACCACACCTAGTCTCAGTAGCCATTCATTATGCCCCAGGAGTGGGGCTGGCACAGCACACAGGGGATCAAACCCAGGCCTCAGTGCCTGCCAAAAATCTCAGCAGGAGTTTTAGTTTGCTGAAATATCTGGCTGATCCAGATATTTTAATCTGGCTGGCCCAGATATTTTAATCTGACTCATAAAGAATTTAGAGTTCGATCCCAGACCGGATGCTGTGCCAGCCCTGTACCCAGGGAACTGAGCCAGTGAATTGAGTCCAGGCATGGTGGTGTACGCCTGTAATACCAGTGCTGGGAAGGCTGAAAACAGGAGGATCACCACAAGTCCAAGCTGTGTAGTGAGACCCTATACCAAATACATGCATGAAAAAAAAATTAGAGTGATATTCTAAATCATAATTTATTTACAAAAAAAAAATGATGCACAAAATTAAAGCCAAGTATTTGTAGGTCCTGACCAGATGTCAGGACATCTAGGTACTAGTTTAGCTCGGTTTCTCTGAGTCTTAATTTTCTTGTTTGTAAAATGAGAACATTGCATTTCTAAACATGGCTAATTATGCATACATAAAATTTTTGTCATTTCATATTTTTTAAAAAAGAACTTAGTACAACATATGCAAAAAAAGAAAATTTTGTCATACTGACAAGGTTTATTTTATAGGCTTCAGTTATATCAGGGATAAAAGTCTTACTTTTTTAAAAAAATTTTTATTTTATTTGTTTATTTATTTACTTATTTGTGTGTGTGTGTGTGTGTGTGTGTGTGTGGCCAGCTCAGCCCACCAGGGGGTGGGGCTGGCTGGCATGTGGTGCTGGGGGATTGAACCGCGGTCCCTGTGCTTTGCTAAGCTTGTTCTAAGTAGGTGCTTTAGACCACTGAGCCATCTCACCAGCCCCCAAAAGTCTTATGTTTTTAACATGTGTCTTCTTTGTATTTGATGCTGCAAAACTATTCCTGTATTTGGGATGTGATCATAAAGGCAAATGGTAATTTAAAAAGTTGTTGCAGAATGCTTATTTCTTTTAAAACTTGTTTTGTTGAATTATTTGGTAATGCTCAAAAGAATTAAGGAGTTTAACCTGTCCAAGAAAAGGGTTGTCTCTTAGTTAAGCAAGAATGGTGCTGGGTGAGTGAATTAAAGATTGCGAGAAACAGACACAGAAAAATATTTGGCCCTTGTAAGTTAAAGTGCCTTATGCCTTATGCCCTTGATAACTGAGAAAGGGCAAATGAAAGGCCCATGGCAGGAAAGGAAGTTTGGCTGGAAAAAAACTTGAGTTTTCAGTCATTCAATAGTATATTTGTATGAAAGAGCCCATATAATCTTTTTACTAGATAGTAGTTGATAAACACTGGAGCTAAAAACTATGAAACTTGTGAACATCAACTTGTAAATAGAAGAAAAAGATGACTACTGTTTTGAGTTAGTTACTAATAAAGTACTTATAGGGCTGGTGAGATGGCTCAGTGGTCTAAAGGACCTACTTAGAACCAGCTTAGCAAATCACTGGGACTGCAGTTCAATCCCCCAGCACCACATGCCAGCCAGCCCCGCCCCCTGGTGGGCTGAGCTGCCCACACACACATAAATAAATAAATAAATATAAAGATTAAAAAAAGAAAAATAATAATAAAGTACTTATAATGTCACTTCAGATTTCCCAGTGTGAATTTATTAGTTATCCTTATTAGCTATTGCCCTGAGAGAGCTTCTGAAAGGAACAGGAAAGGCTCCCATCTCCAGGGTTTGATTCATTCTTCACACTCTTCATGTCACTGTGATTTACTTTTGCTTGTTACTTGTTTATGGAAAAGGCTTTAAAATGTCCAGTTGGTCTGTTTAAAATAATCCATCATACTTTTCTCAAATTTGAAAATGAAAAGATAAATTTTGTTTAAATATCAGAAACGTGATGCTGAAATAGCCAAAACCATGATGGAAGAACATGAGAGAGTAATGAAGGAGGAAAATGCTCTAGAAGACAAGCAAAACAAAGAGAAAGCACAGTATTCTCTGGACTTGGAGAAACAACTTGAAGACCAAGAGAAAAGAAAGCAGGAAGCGTATGAGCAGTTGCTGAAAGAAAAACTCATGATCGATGAAATTGTTAGGAAAATCTATGAAGAAGATCAATTGTAAGCTTGTCTTGATTTTTTTAAATAGCTAAACATTTCCTTTATGTTGGTCATTGGTTTGTTATAAAGAGGTGAACACAGAACAGTGACTGACTGATACATAATACATGCTTGATAAATGTTAATTAGTCACGTAAATTGAGGCCAGTTCTTTGTCAGCATGATTATTAATAAGTTATCTGATAATAAATGTTTGATGAAATGGCATAAACCTTTTTCTTAAATATGCCTGTATCATATTCTGATGCATTTCCTTGTAGACAGCTTAAGTACAGAGTACCACAAGGCTTATGTCAACAAGTTGTAGTCGGTCAGAAATGATAACGCATAAAATTCTGTTAGTAAGTTAGAAGAGAGGCATAGTATTTTACCAAGAGGAAATTCATACCTGACACTATACTTAGTGGCACATGGTAGGCTTTCAAAATGTCTGTTGCTTTAATGAATGAATAAATTATATATAGAAAGGATGTTTTCCTCACATCATTACTAAGAGAAGGAAATTACTTTGTTATTTTATTATTTCTGTTAGTATGAAACTTGCTGTTGTTTTTAGAGAAAGACAACAAAAGTTAGAAAAAATGAATGCAACTCGGAAGTACATTGAAGAGTTTCAAAAAGAGCAGGCTCTGTGGAGAAAAAAAAAACGTGAGGAGATGGAAGAAGAAAACAGGAAAATCCTAGAGTTTGCCAACATGCAACAGCAAAGAGAAGAAGAAAGGATGGCAAAACTTCAAGAAATTGAGGGGAAAAGACTGCAGCTTCAAAATATGGTATTAAAATAAACTCTTCCTTAATACTGGTAAAATTGTAAAATACTGGTTATAAAGCTTGGGTCCTATAAATATTTTTGTTTTTAAAAATTTTAACAGCTGATTCAGAAGTTGGAAGAAATGCTGCGACAGCGTGAAGATTTGGAACAAGTACGACAAGAATTATACCAGGAAGAAGCAACTGAAATTTATAAGAGGAAAATGAAAGTAAGTTTCAGAAATTTGAAAGAATAATTAATGTAGCAAATTATATAATTTTAAGGCAAAGCAGTAGAAAGATAGATGTAAACACAGTTTTGGTGATTATATTGTAATTCACAAACTGCTTCATAAAAAACATGATACTAAGGGGCCAGGAAGATGGCTCAGTGGAATAAGCGCTTCCCTGGCAAGTTGCAAGGGCCTGAGTTCAATCCCTGGTTCTGAAAAAAAAAAAAAAGCATGACATTAGCTATGTTGTGTGCAGTCAACACAATTTAAATATGAAGAAACACAGTTTAAAAGTGATGTGAAGAAAGACAATCTGTGACCACTAATTAAAACAAGTTGGAGTGGTTGGGTAACAAAACAAACTCAGCTTTGGGACAAAACCTTTTTATCGTGATAAATTCATCTGGTAGATATAAAGTCGTAAAGTATGTAAGCCTAAACAAAACTTTGGCATGAAACCAAACTGACAGGATGAAAAGAGAATTAGGCTAATCCGTAATCAGGGTTGTAGATTTTAATTTTTTTTGTCATTAACGTATAGAATAAGTAGTCACAACTATATGATGTAATGCTAAATGAATTATCAGTATAAACAAATTTGTCCTGACAGCTTGAGAATACTCTGTCCAAGAACTGCAGACAAAAATTGTATTCAAGTGCACATGTAACATTTACAAAGACTGGCCACATATCCCAGATGTAAAGTAAGTCTCAATAATTTCAAGGTTTTAAGTCCATACCAAATAGGTTTTCTGACTATAAGGCAACTAATTAGAAATCAGGATGAAATGTACCTTCAAAATCCTTAAAGACTGTCATTAAAAATACATAATTCTTAGTAAACAGTGAACAAAGAAAAATATGATAGAAATTGAGTATTTTAGGCTAAATGATGATGAAAGAACAGTACAGTAAGATGTGAAAGAAAGTTAATATAGTGCTTAACAGGAAGATTATATTTTAAATACATATATTTTAGAAAGGAAAAATGGTTAAAAAAATAATGATCTTATGTCTGTAAAAAATCGGTACATAAATGGTTTTATGAGTCATAATAGCTAAAAAGTGAAAATAACCAAAATGTCCAACTGATGATATAAACAAAATTATTTAATTGCCAAAAGAATGAAGTACTGATATGTATCAAGGAATGGATAAATCTTTATTATAATCTTAATTTTAAAAACTTAGGAGTGTTATATAAATGGATTAAACAGTATAAAATCTTTTGAGATCTACTATTTTCACTAAGTGTAATTCCCTGCAAATTCATTGAAGTTATTGCTTGGATCAATATTTTGTTCCTTTTTATTGATGAATATTATTTCATTAATGCATATATACTAGTTTATTTGACGATTTACCCATTAAAGGAAATACAAGTTCTGGCTCTGACAAATAAATTCATAAATGCTCAGATTTCTGTATAAACAACTTTTCATTTATTTGAATAAATGCTCAAGAACTTTTAGGCAGAATATATAAAGAATTCTTAACTCGATAAAATATAAAAGTCACTCTTGTTAAGTGAGCAAGAGATTTGAATAGCTTCTTTACACAAGATACAGGAATAGCAATGCATACAATGGTCACAAGTACTAGTATTATATTTAAAATAACAAAAATGTGTATAGCCATTTTTACAGATGTCTTAATGTCATCTGATATTTAATATCAAATTACCCAAAGAAGATTAAGAATAAATGATAAATGGAGGCCACCAAGTATATATGAATAAATAGGAAGCAGACAGGGAAGCTAATCCACCAGATAAGTGGACAACCAAACAAATCCTCAGTAGTAAGGATAAAAGGTATAATTGATAATGAAGGTCTAACAGAATTAACATTTAATCTTATGCAAAGCATTGAAATATATAACTTTATTTATTTATTTTTTTAATTTTTTTTTGGTGGATCCAGGGATTGAACTCAGGCCCTTGCGCTTGTCAGGGAAGCGCTTATTCCACTGAGCCATCTCCCCGGCCCCTGAAATATGTAACTTTAAAAGCTACTAGAAATCTGAAGGACATTTAGCATAATGAAAAGGGAATCCACAAAGCTGTCAGCCTCAGCTTGTTCTAGTTCGATCCCCACAACCCTCCAGCCAGCCAAAAGTGCCCTGAAGGCATTCAAGGAGCAAAAAAA